TCTGACATTTTGAGGGCTTTTCTCCACTTTCCAACTTTGGATGTTATAGTTGGTATACACCTGCTGGAATCTATTTATCCCCCATCTGTAAAAAAGTAGATGGTACTTTCTACCTAAAAAGATCAGAGTGAAAAATAAAAATCCATGAGAGGTTGTGTGTTTTCCAGGCACTGTGGAAGATCAGTGTCATTAAAGGAGTTGATGTCCTAAGTCACGTTACTGATTTTGTGATTAAATTAAACTTGAATAATTGTCAAGTTTATGCTTTATAACTACTTTTATAAAATGACCATCCCATTACACTCTGTTTTCTAGAAGCACATCACTTGACCACAGGCTAGTGATGAGTGTTACCCTTCCCTGGGAAAGTGAAAAGCTGCAGTGACTTTCTGTGTCACCATTCCTCCATGGAATTTCTTTCTTATCACTTAATCCATGACATCCAGATAGTGCCACAGTTAACCAGAGTATTTTTAATTAGCATATATCTAGTGTAAGTATGCATTAGAGTGTATGTGGCTCCTGGCTTTTCCTTAACACAGTTTCTTCTTCAAAAGAAACAGTTTGGTGCTTTTTTATGTAGGACAAAAAAAAAAAGAGACCAGTTTAAACCAGCTAAAACATCTTTGTTTCTTCCATCCTTATGCAGAAAACAGCTGAACAGTTTAAAACTAACTTGAAAAATTATATCTAAGACTTACATGCCAAGCTTCAGCCAAAAATACTTTTTGCAGCCAAATTATCAAACCCCTGTGATAGAGCATTTACAATGGAATTGCTGATGCAACCTTTATTATAGGGACATGAATAGCTGTAATGAATAGGCTTCAGCTGATGTTCTGGCAAGCCTACTGCTAAAAATTCTTCTGAATTTATCTGGCATTCAGAAAATGCTTGAAGTGGCCAAACTGTTTACCCCATCATTATCATTTTGACAATATCTCTTTTCTCCCAGAGGAAGTGGGTGATGAACAAATTGAAGCGGCTGCGAGACATGTGCGTGTCGAGCATCTGTTCCTCCTGCTCTTGGCAGCCTTGTTGGGTTGGAGACAACCAGGGCCAAGGGCTCAGCCACCAACTTCAAGCAGTTGTGTTGAATCAGACATTAGTGCCTATTGTGTCATTAAAGTGTATTAGTGAACTGCATTATGCTTTCCCTAATGATTTGATTTCGGTTTGTAATCTGGAAATGTCTGTGTTGAGCAAGTGTTCCATTCAGAGTGGGAGTATTTTGGAGCTTTCTTTTTCTACCAGTATAATTTCAGATGATAAAATAGTCCAGTTCCTGAATTTCTGATGGTTTGGCTGCTTGTGAGGTTGCACTGATTAATCAAGTTTGGGTGCTAAACTGATTGTATTAAACTCTTGTTCAGGGAGTTATCAAGTGAATTAAACCTGTCCTGTATTGACTTCCCTTAAGCTGAGAAGGGCTTGACATCCTAAGTCAATATAAACCCAATTTAAAATTATTTAAATGGGTGCACAGAAGTGTTTGCACTAGTATAATGAAATAACTTCTAAAACACAGTTTAGATGAGTTCAGTATGATGCAACTCTGGCTTCTGGCTGCATTTTTAAGGATTTCAATGCTGAGGGCAGTAAAACTAAAATGTCTGTGCAAAAAGTTTCCACGTGAAATTTCTTGAAAGATACATATTTTTCAACAAACAGGAGTTTTCTCTCATAGAGTTTTCATACAACAAATGCTACAATTTCTACTGGAACATTTTAGAAATGCCAAAAGATAAAAGAGGCATAGCATTGCCTTGAAAGAATATTAAAATTAAATAAATGGTTTTGTTAAATTTAACTGCAGATGCTGGTTTGTGTCACTAATCAAGTGAGAAATATGATTCTATAAAATCTGTGAATTCTTCAGCTCTCCCTTTTTTCTTTCAAAAATCTGGAAAACGAAGTTGAGATGAATGAAAAAAATTACCACTTTGTTTGCAAGGCTTTAAATTGGATTTGATCTGAAGAGTTTTGCTCCCAGTTAAATATGCTGATATGCTGGTTTTAACAAAACTTCTGTCTCAGTGCAGCTGGGGCACCAGCCCCGGAGGAGGGAGCCTCATGTTTATTTTCTGTTTGTCATCAGATTCTGAGCAGAAGATGGGTGGGTTTTATACCAAACCATTCTGATTGAGATGGAAAAATATTCAAAGGCCTGTATTGAAGGGGAAATCTTGGGACATCTTCACACGTTCGGAAATTAAAGAGTCTGATGTTTCAATCAGTCAAAAGACTCTTTTCATGAAAGAGACTGAAAAGTTTGGCTCTAGGAATGAGGAATAAAAGAATATTCTGAAATGAGGGAAGTTGCTGTGGAATGGGGTTCCTCTTTGTTGTATCCCATCAGCAAGACCTAGTTAGCCCTGGTGTTTTATTCAGTTGTTCACTGCACTTCTTCAACACCAGTTCCTTGATTTTCCAGGTTAGTACTGCTGGTTTTGTTCTTCTTACCTTTGCTCCCCAAGCATTTGGATGTCTTTGCTCTGAGCTTATGACTGTTGATGAGGAAACTGGAAATTACAGGGTGCATTGTGTAACTCTGATCTCTTCTTCATGCACTGCTTAGAGAAGGAGTCTCTTGGACCGAGCAGCAGTAAACCCCCCAGATTGGCTCTTCCTAATGCTGCTTGGCACAGTTACAGCTCATTGCAAGTTTAACTGCTAGTGAGTCCTTTCTCAGTGTGAGATTTAATTTTGTAGGTATCTGGCTGTGCTTGGTGTCAGCACACATAAACCAGCTTGTCAGCAGTGGGGCACACTCTGACATGGGAAAACACCCCATGAGAAGGAAGAAGCAACCAGTTCATAGCATCCTGTCCACTGCAGGACTCAGTGCAACACTGTCCTCATGTCAAGGTTGAGCTCCTGTGTTGTGGATGTTGAGCTACAGGAGATCTTATAATTTGAAATAAAGAAGCTGAGCAGAGGCCATTCTAAACATTGTCGGATTAATAAACTGCCTGAATTTCTGGGATTCATCAAAACACCTCAATCCAGTCCACTGAGCCACCTAAAAAAGCATTTTCACCTTTTTTCATGGAGGCCTCCTCTGCAGAAATATCTGAAAGCAGCCTCCAAATACTTCACAGACTTGCAGCATTCAGTCCTTTCCAGGTCAGGTGTTAACCTTGTCCTGGAAGCCAAGGAAAAATCTTCCACGTTCCCTGCCACCACTAACATATGTGGGAGCTGTAGGAATGCTCCTTCTGCTGATGAAGTTGTGATCCATAAACATACCCAGGTACAATTCCATGAAACACCAGCTGGCAGCCAAATGGAAGGGAGAATTTGGCAGGTAGTTAAGTGGAAGTTGAGCACACACTGTCTTTGATCAAAGATTACTGTGGGTCTCACAGAGATGTCTCTCAGGGCAGCTGAGCACTTCATTAAAAAGTTATAAAGATCCACTTTCACACTCAGGACAGGTTAATTCAGAACTATGGTTGCTTCAGGATGTTTTTGGAAGGTTTCATTTCAATGGCTCGTCCTTGACCTGCCTCCTGCTTGGTGGTTATTAATGCTACTGCTTGTGTTGTGCATGTTAGTCTGTGATGTAAATTTTTAAATAATCCCAAATAGAATATATTTCAAGAAGAAAACTAGAAGGAATAGCAAAGCAATTTTTTTTCTCGTTTGACAAGTTTTTCACCAAAAGAAATGATAAGTCATGTGAAGAAAAAAAAACCCAAACCAAACCAGATTATAGATTTGAATCAGATTGAAAAAATCTGAAAACAAATTTCAAAAATTGTTTTAGAACTGTTTCACTTTCTTAAACTTGTAAAAAAATCCTACTGACTAAGCAAAGCTTTAGCTGACCAGAGAAAACATTGAGATTTTTTCTCCCATGAGAAAATACAAAAGTTTTGCCTCAACTGACCTGAAGTGATCTCTTTAATGGCAGAGGGTGCAGTTATTTACACAGGTCAGGCTGTCACTCAGCTCCATTGACAAAGATCACAAGTTCTGACATTTTCTGGGTCAACTCTGGGCTTCTCTCAATTTTGTAGCTAATGCACATTGACAGCAGGCACACTTGGGCACAGTGCTAATTGGGTGTCTTGTGAAGACTTAATGACATTGCTGGAAATATGGAAATATGTTTTAATATTTTGTTTCTGGTATGTCCTTTTTGATTCTGTCTCCTTTGAACTACATCTTTTGCATTTGTGAAAAATCTTCTACAAAACTCCTTTTCACCTGACATTGTGTAAGTGTCTCACCAAACCAGCAGCACTTCTTTTTGCAAAAGCTCTTCTTGCCAATTGATTCCCTTAAAAAAGTTGTAAAAATTATTGGAATTGTATTAATTTTTCAACAACCTTAGCAAAAATACTTTGCAAGGGTGAAATATTCCCCTGATATGCTCTGTCATATGATTCACTGCAGGGGAATTAGCCAGGTGTAATTCAGGGCAAAATGGAGCCCTCAGCAAGAGGGTGGACTTAAGGCTGACTTTAGAAGTGATAGATGCATTCAACAGGAATAGCTGTAGCTCGTTATATCATCTGAAATGTGTTTTAGTCACATCAGGTATTTCATTTAAATGGTTCTGGTACTGGTGATGGGCAGAAGCAGGGAGGATGGCCTCAAATATAAACAATTTCATTCCTCTTTAAGCTGCCAATCATTAGCTAACTTCTCCCTTGTTAATAGTAATGCTTGCAGGAGTCTGTTCTGAATAATGGATTGCAGCTTTTCCCCACCAGCAGGCAGGCCAGTGGGCAATTGTAATTTAAAAAGCAGGTTAGTAAAATCATATTTAGGGAGCAATAAAACCAGTTTAAACAGAGCTTAGGCTGTCTTGAGATACATTATTAGGCAAAGGATGTTGACAGACAATAGCAGAACTTGATCTCCACTACCTGCCTGAAGCTTTGAGATTGTAGACTTTATAAAAATAATGTTTAATATCTGATTTATCTACAGAGCTGTGGAAAGACAAAGAAATAGGAATGTAATAAATCTGTTTCTTTTCTTTTTATCAGCATCCTTCTGCTGAAAGGAAGATTGCCAACATGCCAACTGAGAGAAGGTAGGAGAGGCACAGCCAGTGACACGAAGTATGATTGTTATGTAAGTGAAATTTGGATTTATTTACACACACAGTATAGTTGCAGGGAAAATCTGCTCTTCCAGGGATTCCCCACCAAAGTCATTGCCTGCCTGCCAAGGAAAGAGTGTCTCAAAAACTGATTGTAATTAGAGAGCTAAGTGCAGAGCTGGTGCTACTGCCTCCCTTACACGGGCCCTTACCCTGACCCTCTAAACACAACCTCGGGTGTTCATCCTCAGAAGGTGGAATCCCGCCAGGATAGTGGGAGCTTCAGACTGTTTATTGGAAGAACAAGGTTTCTGGGGAATGTGCTGCTTTGTGATGGAGTAAGGCAGACCAGAAAATAAGAATAGATTAAAGTTTCAGTGAATCAAAGTGGAGGAAAACCTGGTTTAGGTGTGGCTGAGATATCACCTGGCTTTGTTTTCTTTGCATGGTCTTTCCTGCAAATACAAATGTGTCATCACTCTTTGAGGGACTGGATCCATGTTTTGCTGAATTTTGCACCTTGGTGAAGTAAAATGTATAACCTGAGGCAAGATGGTTCTTTGTTTGTTTGGGTTTTTGGTTCTCATTATGAATTTTGCATAAATTCAGTGCTGGAGGATCTGTTATAGGAGATAGTAATTCTCCTAAAACATGGCAACTTGATCATGGTAGCAATTAATACCTGAAACTGCTGCTGTAAAGCCCAGAAAAAAAATTACTTTTTTTTCTGAAAGACTATTATAGTAACAAAGACCATCAGCAATGCTCTATGAGCCCAGTAAAATGGAAGAAATCTGGGTATTATTAGGACAACTTAAATTACTAAGGCTGGCTGGCATTCTTTCCAAAACAAGTGAAGATTGATCTTTGGACACAAGCTGTGAGCTGTGTAAAATTGCCTCTGCTAAATATATGCTAATTGGCATATGAATGAGATTTTGTTAATCTTCTGCTTAAATAAGTAGGTAGAGAAAAGCTGGGAACGAGTCCTCATTTCTCTGTTAAAAGAAAGAAGACATGCTATCACAATAATTTATATTAGCAAATATAATGCAAATATGTGTTCGTAGATATAGCAAACAATTAACAAGAATTTCTTGGAAACAATCTGCCAAAATATGCATTTCTGCTTTACTGAAGTACTTCTGAGGATTAAAATTGACAGAAAATCACCTAAATTGTACATTCAGAGGTGTTGAATGCAGTTCTGGGTTCCCCTGGTTTCTTCAGCCGTATGGGCAAGTTTTCCAAGAAACCCTGTGTTCAGTTAGATGGGGTGCTTTGATGTCCTAATGAACCAGAAAATTCAAGTAATGGAATGAAATTTGTAGTCCAGTAAGGGTTTCCATCTGCTTTTTTTGCCTCAGTTCAGTAACACATTTAACTGCCATAATTTGAAGAATAAATCATTGCATTTTTAAGGTCTTAATGGTACTTCACACTGAGGACAGATCTTTGTGTCTTTGAGGTGCCGAGCCTGGTAACAGGTTTGTATTTATTAAATTTGAAAAGGCAAGTGATAATCTCCACAACAAACTGCATCTGATACAAGGAGAGAATTTCAGAGGGGCTGTGTGGACATGAACTGTAATGAGCTGAGCCTTTGATTTGCCCAGGAAACAACTGGCTGAGTTCCTGGGGCTGTTTGAGCCTGGCTGATTCCTTTCCCTTTGGGACGCTGTTTTGCATTGGCTGGTGGTGGCCAACAAACCTGTTCTCCTCAAAGCCAGTTCTGGGCTCTGCTTGTGGACTAAGCATGAGAGGAGTTACCAAACTGGTAAATCAGGTAAGGCAAATTCTACAATATTTCATTAAGAATCAGTGACCTGAGAATTAGAATTTATAATTATAATTACAAGGCAGTTCTGCTTTTCTTCCTGGTAAATGCAACTTAGCTGCTGTGATGAGGAAACAGGTAGTACCTTAGACTACTTATACATTTTTTAACACACCTAAGGCAAAGTTCATTAATTATGTCACAAATCACCTTTGTGTAACTTCAAAGGCAGCATGTGTTATAAAAAAATGTTTAATACATGAACATAATGCTCTGCTTATCAAAAAAGAAAAAATTTAGATTGCACATGGATATATGTGTTTACAAGAGTAAGCATCAGAACCACTCATTCCCTCGTGACAAATGCTCTCCTCGAAGTCAATTTTTTTCCTCTCCAGAACAGACAGAACTGAGCAATGGCTCATTAAGTGCACAGCACACATCATTAGGTGATGCAGGTAGCCCTCCCTGCCAAGCCTGGGTAATATTCAGACCCCTCACCTTGGCCTTCACTGCTGCCAAGAGTAAAAACATTGCCAAGTAGGGCATTGAGCCCGCAGCAGTAAAATCTCTCTGCTTTTATTTATTTCTAGTCTATATCAAATAACACACAACTCATTTTCACTGAAACAGAATTCCAGTCTCTGCTTACACCACCCTGTGCCGTTACCTGCCTGGTAGAGAAGTTTGTGCCCTAGAGAAAAACCTTCCTTCAGTAATATTTATTTCCTGTCAGAGTTTCCCCCCCTGCAGGGCAGGAGAAGTGCTAAGACTCAAATCACAGGGGGGACTGGCACAGGGGTGTTGAACCTTCTCTGCATTCCCAGTCTGTGAAAAACAGAGCAGCACCTTTCAGGTGTGACAGGACATGCACCTACTCCATCATAGTATCCCAGTTTTTTCTTATTGTGTAGGCTTAATCTTATGGGAATGCGGATATCTTTTATAGATTACGTTCCTTTTCTTCTCTGAGGGGAATACAAGAAGTATCTCTTATGCCTCTTAGCAGTTTGTATTAGAAAGAGAGTAAATTCTGGTGTCCATGTTTCTTAATCCATCTGCTAAGATGTAACCATTAGCAGGGAAAAAATAATTTCAATTCTTTCTTACTGTAACTTGCAATCATTGGGAAAGTAGAAGCTACTCACTGAGCAAGAGTAGGGAAAAATGATTCGTGGCAAATTCCTCTGCATAATGATAGAACATATTTGAAAAAGTCAACAGAAATCTAGTGGAGATGAAGCCAGGAAACTGTATAAACAGTACAGGTCAAAAGGCATTTGCAGACAGCAAGAGTAGCTGGATATGAAGCCATCAGAAAGAATGTCACCCCTGTGAGCCAGCTGTGCTTCCCAGATTGAACTGTGCTCACTTGAAACAAACTTCACAAACAAAAATTGCGACATAATGAAAACAAGCAACCAGAAAATGTTCAAGAAGTAGAAGGATAAATCTTTTGCCTTGGAAAAGTAGCTAATGAAGTCAAATATCATGAAAAACATCTTGCAGAACATAGTTCAAAAAGGTAATTTGAGAGAAAGAACCCTCTTTTTTTTTTGCAATATAAGGAAGGAAATAAAATAGTGTCTAAAAAAGCAGTTTTCTTGGTTCCTATTAAAATGTTCCTGCAGCAGCCTTGAGAATTGAGGAAATAATAGAAGCAACAGTTTTGCAGTTGTGTCCACAGAGAGAGAGGTCTTTCAACAGTTATGTCATGGACTGCTCTTCAAAGCAGCTTTGAGTTAGCAACACCACACTGACAAGTGTTTTTTTGCTCTGTTTTCAATGGGAAGTAAAGGGGTTTAGACTCAGTTCAGTCAAAGAAATCCATCCCATCCTAACTGGAAGTGTGGAATTATACCTAAGATACGTATGTATGTATTTTATTGCCCATCTGCTTACGCTCTGCTCTTGCCCTGGGAGAACAGCTCATGTCTGAAGGCACATTCTCCAAGCAGTTAATTATCCCCCATATTTGTGTAAGTGTACTGTGCTGCTTGTAATTGAGCTCCATACATTCGGCGAGGGGCTGCTCCATATACCTTTCACTGCCACCGGTGAGCCGGGTAACAAATTGGTGCAGCTCATTGGAAACCCCGGGAAAGAAATGTGCCTGGCTAATGGGCTGCATGATGTATGGCAGCAGCACTGGGCTGGCCTGGCTGCTCAGTGTCTGGCCTGCACAGACCTGCTGATAAATGAGCAGCGTTTCCAGGAATGAGGGCAGGCAGGAGATGCTAAATAAGTGCTAATAGGCTACAGAAAGCATTATACTCTGCAATGAGGGCTCTTTTCCATAATTCCAGCTAGCAAACTGTGTTAGTCATGCTAATGTGATACAGTATTTGTGGCTGCCTTGACAGTGTCCATTGAAATATTCAGGGAGCTGCTGCTTCCACACGTGTGTGTCCAGGTACCTTGTGCTGGATTAGCTCTACTCAATTAGCACTGTGTTGTCGAGCGCAGTTCAAACAAATGGCGTGGGCTCCTTCATCACCAGGTGACCTGCACTCATTATACAGAAACTGGCACTTACAAACAGCTCTTCCATGAGATTGTCCCAGTTGGTGAGGGGCTGAGGTAAGAGGTCACATCCCGGCAGCAGCTGCATTTTGGATCTGCCGAGGCACCTTCGGCATCCTGTGCTCAGCCGGTTTAAACAAACACACCCACCCACCTGCATCTGGATCCCAGAAACTGCCATTTTTCTTTCTGGTGCCGAGGCTGCAGGGCTGCTGTCACTTGTTTATATGGCAAACACGAGATCGATAAACTCCCAGGAATTCAGAGCTCACACAACGCTGCACTTCCTAGGGAGGATTAGCTGAAATGAAATGTCTGACAGCTCTGTGGCAGCTTTCACATTACAAGCCAGAATTATTTCTTCCCCTTCACAGTCTCTGATGGAAATGAGAGATGTTAAACTGCCAGTCACTTAAATCTTGGCCATTCATTAAGCAAGAAATGTTATATCAAGTCAGTAATTTGGCCTGCCTGGAATATCCCAGACCATTAGCAGTTACTGAGGAACACATCAGCCATTACTCTTTAGCTGGAAGATGGAGTCCAGTCATTAGTCCTGCCATCTTTACCCCAACACCTGCCAATGTATAGCATTTCTTAAGCTAGAACTTGCTAAGGGGTCACAATGTAGACTGGTATGAAAGGACCAGAAGCTTCCAGAAATGTTTTGTTCTTCTTTGCAGTCTGAATCTTCTTGATGAAGATTCTTCTTATCTGCTGCATTTTTTTTTT